TAGAATAGAATAGAATAGAATAGAATAGAATAGAATAGAATAGAATAGAATAGAATAGAATAGCAGTAAACAATAAGTGGTAATAATTCAGCATTTTACTTCATAATCCTAGGAACATATGTCATCAAAGTGTAAATACTAATTATCTAATTCCTTTTATATCTGGTAGATTTCCACATCCATCCTTTTTTTCCCCCCTTCTAAATCATTGCTGTGGATTACATTAGGGAATGTTGGCAGAATCCTTTAAGAATTTTTCCTCTCTCCTTCTTTCAGTGCAGCATTTAATAAACTCTGACAAGTGGCAAATACTTTGTCTGTAGCATTTTTTGGCCATAGTTAACTATACGACCATGCAGCTTCTTTCATTCAGCTGATGGGGACATCCCTGGGCTGGGTTCTTGTGGTAATAGGGAAGAGGCAGAGAGCACAAGGATGCCCTCTGCCTTAATTTTAAAATAGTTACTTTAAAAATATGATATAAACTTTTGGTATTTTCTAAACCAGTCAAAAGGCAGTAGCATTTCACCATGAGAGAGCATTTCACGGAGTCAGCTATTGGTGGCACCATCTTGGATGAATGTTTATTAGAGGGAGCATCCCAGTCAAAATGGCGGCCAGGAGTTTGTAATCAAAGCCTCACCCTTGTTATGGGTGCCTCCCCTGAAAATGTCCCTCCATGAGACGTTTTCAGAGTAGAAAAGAAGTTTTCACTCCTTTAACTATCCACTATTGACCTCATCCCATTCCTAAACGGTCTGTAAGGGGCATGCGTAAGTGCACCATCGTGCCTACCATCCCTGTCCTATTGTCCCCATTTACCTATTTGTACCTATTTCCTGTATTCTTACTCATGTTTATACTTATACCTATTATCTTGTAAGTGATTGACAAATCAAAGAAAGAAATAAAATAAAGAAAGAAATAGTCCTCTGTTAGCCTAACAAACCAGGGTTTGTGCATCATATACTGCAGCGTTACTGCATGTAGACAATCCTGGCTGTGTATGGAATTCATGTAAATTGGCTGTGTTTAAGATTCCTGCAAGACGAAGCATTTAAAATTTACATTAAATTATAATTTAAAAGAAAACTTTTATAAAATGATGTATCACTGGTATTTAACACCAGATACGGTAAGTTATCTAAGATGTATAAAGGTATGTTAAATTAGTGTTGGAAGTGCAAAAGTAAAGAGGGACTTTTTATCATTGATGGTGGACATGTGTCAAAGCAAGTGTGGTTCATATTTTAATACAGAACATTTTGAAAATGTAGATAAAGATAAAATCAGAAATTTTCCTTTTGGGACTAATGGAAAAAGACTTGGAGAAAAAAAAAAGAAACTTAGTTACTATATAGGTTGACAGTAGCAAGACTATTGCATGCACAAAAATGGAAGGACACTTCAATTCCTACCATGCACAAATGATTGCAGAAGTGATGGAGTTGGCTGAAATGGCAAAATCGACTATTTTGATTAAAGAAAAGAATATAAATACTTTTGTTTCCACACTGAGGCTGCTTCTGAACTTTGTGGTAAAGAATGAAACTTTGATTTTGGGTTTTACCAATTAGACTGACAGATCTTTATAGGAATGGCTAGTTTATATCAGAAAAAAAACAAAAAGTTGTGATTTGATGTTATGTTAATGCCTTATTTTACTGCAACAGAGAGAGTTGGAATACTTCTTTTTCTTAATCCTTCCTCACTTTTCTTCTCCCTGCTTTCTCCCCAGTGTTTTCCCATTTTCTTTCCCGTTTTGTATCTTATCTTACAAAATAAAATGTTAACAATTCAAGATTCCTGCAAGTATTTTTGCATGAATGCAGCCAACTGAAACCATGTTTGAAAACTGCCACTAAATTCCATCCCAGACAGACAAGGGAGAGGAGGATGTGAACAACCCAAGTGATTACTGCAAATTATACTTTGTCTCCCCCAGATGGACAATGACCAAACTGCCCCTTCTGACAGAAAAAGGAACATTGGTATAAAATGATGGCTAACCTGAAGTTTAAGAAATATGGAGATCGTTAATCCTGTTGAAGTGTTGTATGATCTAGTAACCCCATCAACTGTGATTAATATGAAGAATAGAAAGGGTTCTGTCTCTGGCATTATTTGCTGCGAACGTGCCACATCTTAAACATTAGTGGAGAATTAGAATGAAAGTCTTTCCTTTCTCATCGCAAACTCCTTATTATGTTTCTGATCTCCTTTCTTGGTTTCCTGGACCTTAGAAAAGCCAGAACCTGGGGTGGACTTCAGCCAGTTCTCACTGGTTCAGGTGAACCAGATGTTAATTTTACGTCCGGTTTGGCGAACCGGTAGTTCCAATGGCCTCGCCTCCTGTCCCCATCATTTTCTTTAACTATGAATGGCAAAACCTATCACTTTACTGAACGTTTTTATTACCCAGGGAACTGCTGTAAAACCTACAAACTTGAAATCTGGCACGTATGTTCCTCTTGGCTTCTACAGAACTGGTCCCCTGGTCCCCAAAAGGGTGACGGCCACTTTTCTAGCACAGTGAACACTGACTCAAGACGATTGTCCGAGATGGAGAAATGGTAGCCCCACCTATCCCCCTTTCATGTACAGAGGTTGGTCCCTTTGGTGGGGGGGGGGGAATCACTGCTCCCCTCTGGTAGTAGAATAGCTTGATCCTACCAGAAAAGGACATGGGGACACGGTGGCTCAGTGGTTAAGACAATGAGCTTGTTGATCAGAAGGGTTGGCAGTTCGGCGGTTTGAATCCCTAGCACCGCGTAACAGAGTGAGCTCCCATTACTTATTCCAGCTTCTGACAACCTAGAAGTTCCAAAGAAATAAAAATGCAAGTGTCAACTCAAAAATATTTATCTGGTCTTTTAGAGTTGACAGCAGAAAGGGAGTTGGGGAAGTAGAGCCTTCCTTAAATGCTTTCATAGATCATGGCTAGGCGGCCGAAGCTTCTGGCGTGCAAGATTATTTCTGGAGAGCATGATTGATGACTCTTGGCTATGGATGTGTCCCATTGGAGAATGTACATCCAGGTTGTGGGGGGGGGGGAGACCAGGATCAAGGGTGAAATGAACGATGTGTCTCAGAGTCGGCTGCACTTAGGTAGTGCCAGCATGTTCACACCTAATAAATCTTTTTTTAAAAAAACTCTGTGAGATGTGGCTAAAGACTCATGATTTGAATGGAGGTGGATGTCGGAGCCCTGAGTAGAAAAATTGGGACCACTTTGGTGGCAAGGTAAGAGTGTTCCGTGCACCTTCGGTGCTTAGTCATGCCAGCCACATGACCACAAAGACAACTTTGGACAGCGCTGGCTCTTCAGCTTTGTAACGGAGATGAGCACCGCCCTCTAGAGCCGGAAACAACTAGGATGTATGTGCAGGGGGAACCTTTGTCTTTACCTCTATCTTACACCCCAAAGAAGACACAAACATCTGTTTTATTAACAGGGAATTTTATTGGTTGTTTAAACCTGTAATATATATATATATATAAAAACAATAAATTAAATAAAGTAAAAATATTAAATAACAAGAGAGGGTGCCAGCCCCCATACAAATTATCTGTTCATGGAATAAAAGAATATTATAAAAAGCTAATACTATATTTACTAAACAAGTAAATCGCCAAACTATACATTAAACATTTTTACCTCACTACTCGTGTTGATCCAATTCCAGCCTTGTTCAGGTCATATTCAGAGATGGTAGATACATTAGGAAATTGGGACCTCTATGGAATTATCCCTGAGAATACATTTTGACCTTAAAACTGCAGGCACATCTGCATTACCAACTTAATCATTTTGCTATTGCTCATAATTTTATCAAAGACTTCTGAGCATCTCATTACATTTCCAATATTCCATCTCTTCAAGCCCTCTCTTCAAGGACTGTTTCACTCTTTAGCTCAGTTGAGTTGATGTTTTATCTTGTGCCTCGTGCTACTGAACATTGGTGGAATTTGACACGTAATAAAATGTAGCCACTTTACCGCTAAACAATTACAGTCGGACCTGTCATCAAGAAAAGGACCAAGGGTCCACAGAAGTTTCTAGAAGACCAAGATGGAGGATGCTGAAGTACAATGACGATTTAACCACATTGAATGCAACACTCTTTTATCTCGTGAATTTATAGCAGGGAAATGTATCTCTAAACATTATAAATTTCATTTTTTTCCCCCTAACACTTGTTTCCTAAGGCTTTTAAACAAAATGTCTAATGCATTTCTGACCTTTTAAAACAAAAGTAATACCAGAAATAGTTTGAGTTAAGTTCAAAACATTTATCAACCATAGCTCCAATTCATTTCAACTGAAGCACTTTCTGATGCCTCCACTTTTTAAAATTCTTGAGAAATTCTGCTTCCTGTCTTTCTGAGCAGAAATGGCCTACCCAAAGTTATCTATGGACCTAAAAACTTTTTACTATTTTAGAAAAGAAGGGCCTGCTTGCTTAGAGCAATAATTGCAGACTCTAATCTTGCAGTTTTAATAATGCCATTAGTAGCACATAGGTATTCCCAATGTTTTTTTTAACCACATTGCAATTATTTCAAATTGTACATGGCACAAAAACTTGAGGATGTAAAAATATTCCTGGGTGGACCCTAAATGGATCATTTGCTTAAAACCTTATTATTATCTCCACCATAGTTGGCAAGATGCTAAGAAACAAGTGCCAAGACTGGTTCCCATGTAAAACACAACTAGAGTAAAATATATCAGTAATTTTTAATGTATCGTCGTATCTACACTATTATTTTCATAGAAACTGGAATGTGAATAAGTACTGGGGAACGATTGCATTTTTAACCTCAATATTGCATCAGATCGCATTTTCAATTTTTTTTTTAAAAAAAAGGCAGTTAAAAAGGCAGCAAAATAATATTAAGCAAATATCAACGTGGCAGTGCAACCCCAGTTAAAAGTCTTTTAAATTTCATTCAGTACGGTAACATTTTAAAATAACATCAAATTGTACATTTCTGCACAATGGCACTAGCCATTAGTAAGTTATCAATTTTAAAACCTTACTCTTTAAAAAAAAAACCCACTAAAATTGTAAACCACCAACTCTTCTGGTGGGACATGATTTAAATCCCACTTAAATGTCTTTTTTGAGAGTTAAGCAGGGTGGGTTTGGCATGGGATAGTTTTTGTATTGTTCCCAGCAATGGCTTGAGCGCCTCTCCCTCCGAGAGATACATTGCCCGAACTTTAACAAATGATTCCCACAAGCCCTTGAGAAGAACCATCAACTTCAACGCAGGGCTTGGCATTTCAACACCTGAAAAGACTTGGCTCAAATCCCACGCATCTGACGTCATGGTTGACACCAAGCAAAGGAAAACACCCCCCCTTCCCTTTTCATTTTGGAGGGTAGAAACTTTTGAAATGGATTCTGTTCATGTTGGTGTCAATCCAAGGGATGTATCTGCTGACTCTGGTGTACACGCCAGGCTTCCTTTCCTTCGCGCAGCCATCTCCCCAGCTGACGATCCCATAGAGAACCATCCTGCCATTGGACATGCAGGTGAGGGGACCACCTGAATCTCCCTGGAAAAACCAAGCAAGACGGAAGGTGATCAGCAAGGGAAGGTAGCATTGTTTGAAAGTACAATTTCAGTTGGGGTCTCTTGTGTTCACAGCAGTGACTTTGTTGTCGCCTGTCGGCTGCCAGCCCCTCTGGCAACCAAATCAGATGAGGAGGAGGTATGGAAGTCAGGTTGCATCAAGGCAACCTGAGAGCTCTGAGGGGGAAGAGGGAATGCAGCTGTGTGTGTGTGTGTGTGTGTGTGAGAGAGAGAGAGAGAGAGAGAGAGAGAGAGATGAAGGCTGGGCCATCCATCAGCCCTCAGATGGAGAGGCAACAGTCCCCAGGTGTGGAGGAGGCTGATGAGGAAGAGGAGGAACAGCTGGGTCCAGTGTCTGATATGTGGATGCTCAGAAGGCAGAGGAGAGGAGAGCAGTGGAAATCTATGGGGCGGTTCTTGGGACGGAACAGTCACTGCTGCTAATGAAGCCCCACCCTAGCTCTGGGGATAAAAGGCCCGGTGAAGATGTGATAGACAACTATTTATCTCCTGGCTGTGTGAGAGAGACGTTTTGCAAAGGCTGCTGGTACTACTAATCAAGGGAACATTTATTTAACTACAGGGGGTTTGCCGTGTTTGGGAGCCGGTTAGAACGGACTTGTTTTCTCCAGGGACAGGAAGAAGCAGTGGCAGCTTCGGCCCTAACATCAAGGATCTCATCTTTACCAGATCCCTGAGATCCATGGGAAACCACAACAGAGACAACTTGAGTCTTGCCAAGTCGTAGCTGCCCAACTTGGCGGCCCAGTCACAAAACAATGTATGAGAAGCCAGCTGACAAAGGGGCCTCTAGACCCTTCTTGGCCCCTCGCTTCTTTCTGGGCATTTCTAACCAAGCATCATGCTGCGGCCTCTCACCATTTCTGTTTTGCAAGCAGGTTTATGCTGACGAGCGACACCATGGAAAGAACTACTAATACTCAAAAGATGCAGTTCAGTTTTGCAGCACGCCAACTGTGTCTCATGTTTCAACCAGGAAGTAAAGAGGGGGAGGGGCGGAACTTGTTCCCTGATGGAAAGTTTCAGCACGCACACTCCTGTCCATGGATGACCTTCAACTAACATGCTCGGTGTTAAAAGCCTGCTTAGCAAATCCTAGCTGCTTGTCCAAGCAAGTAGAGATAGTCCTACGATACAATTGAGCCCAAAATTTCCATGGCTAAGCCAGACAGTGGTTAAGCGAACTTTGCCCCATTTTACGAGCTTTCTTTGCCACTGTTGCTAAGGGAATCAGTTGTTAAGTTAGTAACACAGTTGCTAAGTGGAACTTGGTTTCCCCACTGACTTTGTCTACTGGAAAGTCGTAAAAGGTGGATCATATGAGCCTAGGATGTGGCAACCCTCCTAAATATATGCCAGTGGCCAAGCATCCGAAATTTGAATGTATGACCCGGGAGAACAGTTGTGTGAAAAAGGGCCATGTCACTTTCTTCAGGGCCACTGTAACTTCGAGTGGTCACTAAGAAACTGTTGTAAGCCAAGAACTACCTGAATTATCCAGGCAAAGAAACCATACTGAAGAGCCTCAATGGCACAGTAGTTAGAGTGCAGTACTGCAGGCTACTTCTGCTGCCTGCCAGCTGCCTGCAATTTGGCAGATCGGATCCCACCAGGCTCAAGGTGGACTCAGCCTTCCATCCTTCCGAGGTGGGTAAAATGAGGACCCAGATTGTTGGGAGCAATTGGTTGACTCTGTAAGCTGCTTAGAGAGGGCTCTAAAGCACTGTGAAGTGGTATATAAGTCAGTATATAAGTCTAAGTGTCCTTCCTTCCTTCCTTCCTTCCTTCCTTCCTTCCTTCCTTCCTTCCTTCCTTCCTTCCTTCCTTCCTTCCTTCTTTCCATTGACTCAGCCTTCCATCCTTCCGATGTGGATAAAACAAGGACCCAGATTGTTGGGGGCAATATGCTGACTCTGTACACTGCTTAGAGAGGACTGTAAAGCACTATAAAAGTAGTATATAAGTCTAAGGGCTATTGCTATTCAGCATTGACTCAGCCTTCCATCCTTCCAAGGTGGGTAAAATGAGGACCCAGATTGTGGGGGGTTAATTTGCTGACTCTGTAAGCCGCTTAGAGAGGGCTGGAAAGCACCGTGAAGCGGTATTTTGTACAACATTCTTGGAGACTCTTCCCATCCTGCTCACAATCTTTGTGAACTGTTGCCTTCTGACAGAAGATACAGAACAATTAAAATTTGGACCACAAGTTTTCTGAATAGTTTTTATCCCAGAGCTATAGTTGCACTTAACAATGAACTTAAGGACCACCATCAGTGAGCTGTTGGACATTATTACTTGGTCTGCTGTGTGGATGTTTGTGTATTTTTAGGGGGTAGGGAACTTGGTGGGTGGGGAGGTGTTTGGGGATTGTCACTTATGTGGGCATGTTGAGTCTAGTCTCTGGGTGTTATGTGAATTTCATTATATGTGTATACTGTGTATATTTGAACAATGACAATAAAGTAATAAAAAAATAAAGTGCTAGTGCTATTAATGTGTTGACTGGGTCTACCCAATGTGCTAAGCAATAGTTGAGTGTTGATGATATATTGTGACATAATGTTCCACCCATCTCAGATTAGGCAAGCTTTGTGTATTACACAGACTCAAGTCTACTCTGCGTAGACGAGTCTTCACATCAGAGTATTCTCTTCACACCAGAGTATTCTGTAGTTACCAAGTGTGTAAATGACCCCTAAACAAACTTACACTGCAGGAGTCAGTCTTCCACTCTGAGCCTGAAGCGCAGAGCATGTTCTCGTTCACCTTGTGACCCTCGTAGTATCCTTTACATGTGGACTGGGGTATTAATTGTACATTAGCTGATTTCAGGACTCGTGAGTAGTAAATGGCAGCTGTAGACAAAAAACAGAGAAAAGCGGTGTGGGACAAGATGCATATTAACTTTTTTTTTTTACTTCAGAGAAAACAGAAGGGAGTGAGGCTTTCCACATGCGCAAACCTTGCTTGTAGCCCACATTCCAACTACATCTGCAGAGTCTATTCTTCACAAATATGAGGCTTTGCAAGGTTGGAACTGCAGATATGGTCCAGAGAGTCAAAATAGGAGCCAAAATCACTTGGTCAAAGCTCCACCCATTTCTCATGCATCACATATAAAAATAGGCGGAGCTTCAACCATACTCTGGTGGCCACCATCTTGTCTGGTTTTTTTTCCCCCATACTCTGAGATGCCTGAAGGAAGGAAGGAAAAACCACCCACTTACTTTTGCTTTGTTTTCCGTAGCCAGAAACTTCACAGTGGGAATGGTCTCTCAGCATTAAATTCTCCGAGGGCAAGCAGATGGTTTTGACAATGGCCGACTCTTTCGCACATTGGCCAGAAGATGACCTGATCTTCATAAGGGCTAAAAGAAGAGAGAAGAATTAAAAATGAATATAGCAAAACTGTAAAAAGTTGCCTTCAATTATTCATCCAACAAAACCTAATTTGTATTTAATGCTACTCATTCCAATCACTTTTCCAAATAATTTAATGTGTTTTAGACTGCATGTGTATTAACTCACATTTATCTGTTGATAAATTTATTTCCAAATTTAATTTATAAAATCCAAATCTTTGGTTTTCCCCAGCCTCCAAACAATCATTTTAGATTTAATCTCAGCTAGAAAATATACTGTAGCTTTCAAATAGTTCTGTTTTCTTAACTCAGTCCAAGAAATAAATATTAATCAATTAGCATTGATCCTCATCGGATATCAGTCACACTGGACTCAAATTAGCTGGATTCGTACTTAATACAATGAACCAATGGGACTTTTGTTAACTTAAATGTCACTTACTTCGGTAGCCCTATGCTAAGTCTAGGCAAATTTAGAACTAAATACATATGCAACAACATTTCTCCCTCATTTATATCTAACTGAACTGTGAATCAAAGTTTCTGCACACAGATCACAAACCAGAGCTAAGATAGCAATCAAATTAACCCCGAATGATTGGTTTCTGTCTAACTCTACTTTCCTTAAATATTAAACTGATCTCTTTTAACCAGGGTTCGGGCTCAAAAAATGTAGCAACTGGTTCCCTGCCTGACAGAAGATAGAAGAAAGGTGGGCATGGCCATGGTGGGCGTGGCCTAGTCTGCCTCCTGCACCATGGTGGTGGTTTCCTCCTTCCCAGGGTCCAGAGGCCCTCTGGAGTTTTTCGCCCTCCCCGAGCTCTGTGCGGGCCCTGCACTTACCTGGGATACAAAACTGGCCGTGTGGAGACTCATGGGAGGGGTGAGGAGGTGCCCCCCACTGGAGTCTCCAAGGGTGGGATTTACCAGTTTGCCAAACTGGACATAAAATTAGCAACCGGTTCGCCTGAACCGGTGTGAACCGCTAGCAGTTCACTCCCTGCTTTTAACTTTTTACACATACGCTCTTTCCAGAAAAAGGAGAGTTTGACTATACTGATATTAATGTTAATATTCTCAAAACAATTATTGCTAGTGAATAAACACCTCACTGGCTTGGAGAAAAAGGGAAGACTTCATTTGTATTCACCCTTTTTCCAAACCGTTATTTGTGGTCACCATCCCCCCATATTGTATTTCAGCATGAGAATCCAATCAGAAAGTTTTGTGCTGGGCAAGAAGACAATGCAGAAGGTCACTCACCGATATCATTGTTATAATCTCTGTTTTGTTGCGAAAACGCCTCGTGAATGATGAGCCTCTCCACGCTAAATTCTTGATCATTTGCATTGCTAGCATTTGTTGCAGATCTCCCCAACCTAACTATGAGCTTGGATGTATCAGAGCCACTAAAAAGAAAGAACAGGCAAATAGGGTACAGCTGTGAATTTCAGAGAGCATTTGAACCAACCAATTTCATCCTGTCATTGTTTACTTGTTAAACTTTTATAATTATTTGACTCGTTGCATTCTTTGCACAGACCCACAAAGCGCTTCATAAAATTCAGCAAAGTCATTTCTAGCTGTCCTTGTGTTCAAAGTGGTCCTTGCCCCCATTTTTCTGGACTTCAACTCCCAGAATTCTGGGAGTTGAAGTCCATCAGTCTTAAAAGTTGCCAAGGTTGGAGACCCCTGGTATAGAGCACCTGATCTCATCTGGGCTCTGAAACTGAGCAGGTCCGGCCAGATCTGTTTGGTTTTCTGGGTGGTTTGTTTTTTAACCTGGGGGACAATTTTTTTTAACATTAATTGGGAACAGAGCAGCGCTAAAATTGCTACCGGTTTGGTGGAACGGGTGGTAAAAAAAAGCTCTGATGATCAGCTGAAAGGAGAAAAAAGAGAAAAGTGCAGGATCAGCCCTCCCATCTGCCCCTGTGCTTTTCTCTTCTTTATCCTCTCAGCTGATCGGCATGGCAGAGCCTCAGCTGGTGTTTGGAAAGCTGCGCATGCGTGTTAGGTGCACACACACATGACGTGCGTGATCACCAAACCAGTAGGGAAACTGATAGAATCACACCACTGGAATAGAGGCATGGAAACAGGATACAGAGCGGGACTAGGGCTGCTAATTCAAGGAGGGTTATAGAGCAGGGGTCTCCAACCCTGGCAACTTTAAGACTTGTGGACTTCAACTCCCAGAATTTTGGGAGTTGAAGTCCATCAGTCTTAAAAGTTGCCAAGGTTGGAAACCCCTGGTATAGAGCACCTGATCTCATCTGGGCTCTGAAGCTGAGCAGGTCCGGCCAGATTAGTCTATGGAAAGGAGATCAGAGGAAGGATAAAGATTAAACTGGGTATTAGGAAAACATCCCAGAAGATAAGAACAATTCACTTCCATGCAGTTGCTAAGAGATTGTCAGAAACTGAACTCCACTTGAAGGAGACTTCACTTTCTAAGTGAATACAGAATTAACAACATAAGCTGTGGTCGTAAGTCTGTGTTTGGGAGAGTAGGTCTTTCCTAATTTTATTAAGGTAATTACTTCTGCCTAAGCCCAGGAGATTATTTTATATCAATCAGAGGACTACCCTCCTGTCACTGATGTAGAAGATGACACCGTCCAGAAAATGGACTTGGCAATGAAGATGAGGCCAATGATGTTTGGGTGGAGTACATGCAGAGGTGGTATTTAGCAGGTTCTGACCAGTTCTGGAGAAATCCCACCTCTGACTGGCCCCACCCCTTTCTCTCTGCCTCCCATTGAGTCCCAGCTGATCGACTGAGTTTTCTTTGGTTGCCCCGTACAGGAGAACGCAGCTGGAAAGCAGGTTAGTGGGGTGAGGAGGGAATGGGGATTTTGCAATAAGCTTCCCCTAGAAGCGGAGAGGGAATGGAGATTTTGCAGTATCCTTCCCCTGCCACACCCACCAAGCCACGCTACGCTCACCAAGCCATGCACACAGAACCGGTAGTAAAAAAATTTGAACCCCACCACTGGTACGTACATGCCCGAGAAGCAATGGGCTGCTGTAAGGACCCAGCAGGGGTCAATGAGGCTGCCACCACAAAAAAACTGGTTCCCTCTGGAGTGGAAGATGCTGGCTATCCAAGGCTGGGATTCAATAGGGGCTGTCAGACCACCCACAATCTTGAAGTTCCTGCTTAAGTGCCTCTGACCACACGTCCTGCCTATGAAACGAAAGAAAACAACAACACATTGCTAAAAGGTGTGCTCCAGTGACCACAGGCAAGCCTTCTGCCCTTGTCACATTACACACAAAACATTAGATTCTCCATCATGGGAAATTTTCTCCACAAGGGCTTATTTTACTAAAGCAGATTCTCAACTAGCCAAACGTTAGCAAAAACTCTTCCCCTGTTCTGTATCATTTTAGACTACAAAATGAGAAGGGGTTTTCATTCTGCCTCCACCAAACAAAAAAACCTTGCATATTAGGGAAGGAACCTAGCAGGTTGAATAGGGAGGAGGTTGAAAGACGAGCGTGTTTGTACAAATATTTTTGCACCTTTCTGCTAAGGCTTTTCAGAAATTGAGAAGACACAAAATGTTACGAAGATGTTTGAGGTTGACAACAACCTGGAAGCAATATGTTTGCCCTTCCTTGGGACCAGTTCCATTCTCTTTTACCTCTCTCAGTTATGGGGACATCTGTGCCCCTGCGGCTGATTCACAACTGAAATTCTTCCAGCTCCCCCTGTTGAGTTTGCAGGAGCTCCAGCTGAAGATCACCGGAAGATCCATGATGCACACACAACCTCTCTTTTAGATAAAGCTCCCATTGTAAATTGGGTTAAAATGGGCTAAAAGGGGCTTGGCAAAGAGAAACCCTCTGGACAATGGATAAGCTATGGAGAAAACCTCCCTCTCACTCTGGGAACACTTTAAGCTCCTGTAAATGCAGCCCTGGTCAAAAGGGTCCAGCAGAGATTATACTACCTGAGACTTCTCAAGAAACAACTGAATGGAAAACTGCTGGTGACCTTCTACTGTTGCACCATAGAGAGCATTTTAACTTACTGCACCTCTGTATGGTTTGCCAATTGCACAGTGGCAGATAGGAAAGCACTCCAGAGGGTTAATGTCATTGCCCAGAGGATCATTGGTTGCCCTCTCCCCTCTTTGGAAGAGCTTTATAGCTCCCGCTGCCTTAAGAAAGTTCAAAACATTCTCAAAGATCCATCTCATCCTGGGCAGCCTTTTTTTGAACTATTACCATCTGGCAGATGGTACAGGACAATAAAAACAAGGACAAATAGGCTGAAAAACAGCTTCTATCCCAGGGCAGTAACTCTATTGAATTCTACTGTATAGTGTAATATTAATGCAATTAATATCATGTTTTCAATTTAATTGCATAGAATGTGAAGGATGTGTGTTTGGGTTTTATTTTTATAGTTATAACGTACACTGAAGCTGGCATTTAATTTCTTTTGTATCAGGTGCAATAACAGTAAACTAAACTAAACTAAACAAACCACTTAAAAATGGACCGCCCTAAGACATCCATCACTTTTGCACTACAGTAGAACATCTTACAAACATTTTTAAAAAGCAATTGTCAAACAGGACTTTCTGGTTCTCACAATAATATTTGGATCCTCTGTAATATAGCGTTCTTTGATTTTAAGAGGGGCACATTTATCTTTTTTTTTTTTTTGCTTTGTTTTTCACATACTTAGCTATTTTCCTGAATGTGTCAAGTTGGATTTATAGAATTTAATAATATTTAAAAGTTTACCTTATAACCTATTGCTTTTTCTGTGCATTTTCTAAATGTCCACATTTTTATCGCATTTTTGCCCACCAAATATAACATACAAATAAAAGTTCTTAATATAATGCAAAAAATATATATGATATGGCAAGCTGTCTTCATGTGAATGTAATTAACATCTCTTCCATCTCCCATTTTGGATCTCATCATATCTATATAACAACTTACCGTTTTGACATGTGGGTATGTCACAAGATGTCACAGATGTGAGATATCCCTTCCGAACATAGCACCATGGCTTAGAACGGCCGTCTGGATTCCTAGAAACCATAAAAAAAATCTTCATAAGGATTAACCCTCGGAAAGATCAAAAATGACCTCTATGTGTCAGTGTTCCAGCAAACCTCCATTCCAATCATTAACTCCGAGAAAAATATATCTCAAAAGTACCTTTATTAGAATAGCACCTGGCACATCTGTGGAATCCCGAATCTAAAAATTTTGGGGCATTCCACAATTCCCCAAACTACAAATCTGCCCTCCCTACTTGGTCATCACATGCCCCTATCACCATCTGTCCACAGGTAAGATCCTTATTTCATCCTGCACCATACTCAATGACCTTGAACTAATGAAAGAATTTTATTTTGTCTACTTAGAGCTACTTAATTGAAATCACCCCCTTCCGACTGTCTCAGGCTATGTGGCAGCATGGGATATGGCTTCCAAAGCTGACACTAAGGTTCATTTTAAAGGTTCCTTACAGCATTAGCCCTGCAAGAACTTCATATAACCATTGGTCAAAAGTTGATGATTCCTGAGCCTTCTGACAAAGAACTTTTGATTGATGGCATGTTGCCATCATGTTCTCTTATTTAGCTGATAGAAACAAAGTTAGCCTTGTTACCTGGCCACCTTAAAGAGACTGTGTCAAAGAAGTCGGGGTGTGGGGAATGAGTTCTTCAAAAGTTTGAGAAGAATATGTCTGCATATGTCTCTCACCAGAGTTGCAGAATCTGTATCATTGCTTTTATTCATGCAAAACGTCAGAAGCAGGAGTGGGTTATTACCGGTTCTCCCCCGTTTGGGCGAAGCGGTAGCTAACTTTATCCATTTTAATTGCTGGCTTGGGAAACTGGCAAATCCGACCCCTGGCTGGGCCCACCCACCTCACCTCGCCCCTCCCGGGAGTCTCCATGCAGCTTGTTTTGGATCGGTACAGGACCTGTGCGCAGCCTCCTGGAGGGTGAAAAACGGGCCACCCTGAGGCTCCGGAAGGGCCTCCGGAACACTCCAGATGGCTCCGAAGCCCAGTAAAGCCGTTTTCACCCTCCCGTAGGCTCACGGAAAGTCTCCAGAGCCCAGGGAAGGCAAAAACACACACACCCAGGCCGTGGTACAGAAGGCCGACTAGGGCACACCCACCATGGCCATGCCCACCTAGCAACTGGGCAGAGAACTAGTTGCTAAAATTTTTGAAGCCCACCCCAATCAGAAGGCACCATTCAAATGTATAGATTGGAATATGGAAGGTGGAAAATATGACTCTGGTTGCAAAGGGCAATAGACGATACACTAACATTATTACCTGCAATAGTTGTGTCTGCCTAAACCAAGCTCCAGCGAATTTTCCGCGTGCACATTGTAGGGCCGCCTCTTGACTAAGTGGGAGTCCCAAAACAGACACTTTTCCCCATTCTCGTTCTTTGACTCAGTCCCTCTGTAGTCAGTGCCATCCCCAGTGTAACATCTGGTTGCAACATCTGAAGGAAAAGGAAAGAGTCAATGTTGAGTCATGACTGAGAGAGGAGTGCAGATTTCAGAACCTGCGCAAGGAAGCATCAATTTCCTCCGTTTAGGTCATTGTAACAGCCTCCTCCAGCCGCAAGAGGCTTGCGCAACCACGAAGGAAGGTGCAGCAGGACCGTGTGAAAGTACACAGGCGTGTGTCTGGATGCCAGATTATCTTATCCAAACCAGTTCCCCAACTGAAGAAATTGTGAAGTACCTATCTCACAGTGATCTCCATCATATCCTTCAGGACACAAGCAGTACTTAATTTGAGAAAAGAGACCATAACTCAAGCAAGTTCCTCCATTCAAACAGCCACAACCTGTAATCAGATATTTGAAAAAAAAAATTCATTTTTATTAAAACATAAATATGTAGTATGCATTATGTACACTAGGGATTTAGTGCAGGGGTGTCAAACTCAAGGCCTGCAGGCCAGATCCGGTCTGTGGGGTGCTTGGATCTGGGCCACAGGGTCGGCCTGGAAACAGGGAAGGACCAGCTCATGGTGCCTCTACCAGTGAAAAGGGAGGACTGCGGGGAGCCCTCCCGAGCTCTGTTTTTGGCTGCGACGGCCTCCTGCAGCCCTCTGGCAATGAAAATGGAGCTTTCCTCAGAAAATGGAGCTAATTCAACGTCCTGCAGTCCAGGCTCTGCTGGGCTCTGTTTTTGCTGACAGAGGGCTACAGGAGGCCGTCGCAGCCAAAAACGGAACCCAGGAGGGCTGCGTGTGAACTGCAGGATGTTGAGCTAGCCACGCCCAGCCCAGCCATGCGCATTCTCCCCCCCCGCCCCCAGCGAGGTCAACTGCAACCCTGATTTGGCCCTCAATGAAATCAAGTTTGACACCCCTGTTTTAGTGGACCCAAACTGCCCTCCCCCCCCCACTGTGAAAGTTGCTGCTCCTTAAAGCTTAAGGACCAAACACGTGGTGACAATTTGTAATTTGCTACTTGACCAAACCATAGCAGTCTTTAGAGTTAACAAAAAGGAGAAAAGTTTATTTACCTTTGTAGTCATATTTAATTTTCTTCGGCAGCTTCTGTTGTCTCTGCCAAGGATAAGCCTAAAACAAAACAACATCCATAAATACACACATACATGGATCAATATATTAACAACTATTTTCTTATTTGATACAGCTACAAAACAGGATTTTGTTTTTCCTCATGAAAACTCCGGATCCCAGTAATTCAGGGAGAGTTACTGGTGGATGTTAGCTTATATGCCCTTCCAAACATCGATTTCCCCAATGGCACTATTAATGTAAAAGGGAAAACAATGACCGCCTACTGATGGAGAAATCAAATTAAACTGTATTTAAGTCATGTAATCAATTAAAATTTATTTGATTAAATGTAGCTCCTTACAAAAAATTGGTACAGTTCTCTGCTCGAAAAGAAATCTATGGGTTCTAAAACATCTAGACGTTTGTTTTTTTTAAAAGACACAGCAGCAAACTGTAGGCAGCATTCACAAATGCATCTACAAGGATGTCCAAATACTAAAATAATTTTGTGAACACATGTAGAGCAAAGCTGGGCATTTTATAGTTCCCTGGGCTACATCTGGCTTTCCCTGTCCAGCCCATGTGAATTGCTTTTATTTTGAAGGCAATTGTTTGGTTTTTCCCCCAATTTATGTATGTCCATGCATGCATCTTCCCAGGCTTGTTGGTTTGACCCTCCACAATAGTTCCAGTTTCTCATGTAGTCCCTTGGGAATATAAATTGCTTTCCCCCACCACCACCACTACCACCAGGGACCTAGAGGTTTCTCCTACATCCTTATAGTGATTAGATGAGCTGCCTTCAGGGGTGTACCAAGGATATGGTTAAGAGAGAAAAAAAGCCAATATGGCAGCTGCAAAGATATAATTAAAGCTCAGCTTGTTTTGATGTATGGGAAGAACGTCAATCAAACCATTATATCAACTGACTTGAATTTTTTTTTACCAACCGCTGAGGATAACCCTGTCCTGATGTTATCAGCCCCTGTCGGAGTCTGAATCTGAGGAAGAAGCTGAACATCTGACAGGGAGTGGGAGTGTGGCTCTGTTGGCTGTGGAAGAAACCCGGGAAGGGCAAAGTCCAGCTGCGCAGAGCAGGGCGGGGTAGAACAAAGGAGAGGGGGGTTGGAGGAAGACCCACCCCCTCCTCATTCTAGGGCACAGAGGGAGGAATGGAGAAGAGAGCAACATGGTTGCATGGCTTATGGGGGAGAAAAAGGCCCTGATTCCCTTTATTAGTCACAGTTGGGAACACAGTGTATAAGAAAGGCAGGCTGCGTGCGGCAGGCTGCTGGGAGCAAACGTGACTTTAATCCTGTGTTGACATGACTTATCTGTATTCCCGGCATCTTCCCAACCATGTGAGTTTTGCCATGCCTTCAAGTCTGAAATTCTTGCTCCTGCCCTGCCAAACTAATTACTTCAGTTTGGCTTGTTTGGACTTTAAGTTACAGTTTATGTGTACCTTGTTTTGGACTTAATTTTCTGCAGTCAAAGGCTGTTCCTGGGAGAGTTTTTCTCCAGTCAGAAGGTAACCTGGACATTGGGGGCAAAGTTGGAGATAATAAAGGGACTCTTATTGATTAACTGACTGTGTTGCCTTTGTGCCACGCCCCAGGTCATCACAAAGACATTCCCTAAACTACTCTACAAAGAGCAGGTCAAAGGCCTAAGAAAGGAAGGCTAGAAGAACAAAAACCTAGAGTCCAATATTTGGGGAAATATGCAGAATATATAAAAAGGAGTAACCCAAGACCAGAAGGGGCAAAAACCAAAATGCTGAGGTCACTTACTGCTTTAGAATAAACCCATAACATGGGTAGCTCAGTTACAAGAAGTGCCAACTCACTAACACATCATCAGACAAAACATTGTCTACGTTGACATGTGAAAAGCATAAGGAAGCAACGAAAAAAAGGGCTAAAAATACATTTAGATCATGGGTAGGAGTGGAAGTATCATGTTTATGTTCAAAAATGGAAGTAAATCCCAGCCATTGTCAGTTGTATCACTGGAGCTGTATCACTGGAGGGTTGCACAACCTACCGAAGCTGCCATCTCTGCGACGAATGCGCTCAGCATGACAAAGACGATGGCTTGCGGATTCATCCTGTTAGGCAACAGGTTCCTATTTGCAGTGACTTTGCTTCTTCTTCTTTGCTGGACTCTGAAGAAAGAAAAGAAGAAATTTGTCATTTGGGGCAACTCTTGGCTAAACACTTTTGTCTCCATTCCTGGTTTGGGGGACCGATGGAGTGGTTGACTCAGTACGGCTTTCCTCTTTAGCCATTTTGAACTTTATGAATTAGAGACTGTGGGAATATTAGATCATTAGATTATGTCATTAAGGGATGTACACCAATATATTCTTTATGAATTTCCTCATTGGTACCTACCGAATCTTGTGTTTTCACTTCTCTCATTGGACACCCGAATAAAAAGCAAGATGTAAATATACTAGGAAACAATAAAAACAACTTATATTGTTTTTATTGTTTCCTAGTATTTGATTGCTTATTAGTATCCTATGACTGTTGTATCTTATGATTCTTGACACACACACACACACACACACACACACACACACATAGTATACTAAGAGCATATGCACCAAAGACAAATTCCTTGTGTGTCAATTACATTTGGCCAATAAAGAATTCCTATTCTATTCTATTCTATTCTATTCTATTCTATTCTATTCTATTCTATTCTATTCTACTCTACTCTACTCTACTCTAAATCTAATAGCCAATCATACCTTATAACCACACAGATGAACTATATAACCAAAGGCCCCAAAGGGGAAAAAATTCTGCTAAAAACAGCAAAATCAAATAAAATATTGGCTCATATCGAAGTGGACAGCAAGTAAACTGAGTTACAATATGGAAGTAGCCATTGGCATGGGTTTCTTTAAAACTCTAAGTTCCAAGCTTGCCCCAAATATTGTATAGTGTGGTCTCTGTATTAGGGACCAGAGGGTTCCAATCACATTTCCTGCTAAACCCAGATTGGCAGTTGATGGTCTTCTAAACTTAGAATCAGGGGTGCCTAGAAATGAGATGAGGTGTGGCTAAAAAGCCCAGATGATGGTCCATTTCGAGCCTCGGTGACCCCATTGTGACCACCAACCTGTTCCTTTTTTGGAACATACTTTGTCTGCCCCTTATGTTAGGGTAAGGAAGCTGACGCCAAACTACTAATTGAAGCTCCGGTTTTATCCCTCAGATCTCCTTAATGGCCGACCACTTTCCATCAAGATGAAACACGGGCACAGTACAAAAACTAACGGCACGTGGGCTATCAACAGAGTTGATATGGTCCTTGCTGCTGGATGGTTGTGCCAAACACGGCAGTTCTGCAAATATTAAGTAAAATCAAGTTCCAGGCAGAAATAAACAGCTCCACGCCCAGGAAGCAGGGTTGGCTGATAGCTATCCCTGCTTACATTCCAAAAGTTAAAGAACATTTGGACTAGATATATTTTGCTCTCAGCATTTATTATACCTTAAGGAACAAATTCGAGGATGCATATAAGAAACCTGGAACTAGAAACAATGAAACTGTGAGACTCTAGAAAGAGTGCAGAGAAGAATAACCAGGATGATTAGGGGACTGGAGACTAAAACATACGAAGAATGGTTGCAGGAACCGGGCATGGCTAGTCTAGGGAAGAGAAGGACCAGGGGAGACATGATAGCAGTCTTCCAATATTTGAGGGGCTGCCACAGAGAGGAGAGGGTCAAGCTGTTTTTCAAAGCACCTGTAGGCCAGACAAGGAACAATGGATGGAAACTGAACAAGGAGAGATTCAACCTGGAAATAAGGAGAAACTTTCTGACAGTGACAGCAACCAACCGATGGAACAGAAGTTGCCTTTGGAAGTTGTGGGAGCTTCATCCCTGGAAGCTTTCAAGAAGAGACTGGACTGCCATCGGTCAGAAATGGTGTAGGCCAGGGTCTCCTGCTTGGGTGGGGTTTGGGGGTTGGACTGGATGACCTTCAAGGTCTCTTCCAACTCTGTTAATCTGTATTCTAAACAAACCCACATGTTTTTTTCCCTTAGGGATATTCATAACATATAAATCTTACTCTTGCTTCATCAATATCGAACAATATTGAAGAATATTGAACAATCTTTGCCTGATTTAATATTTTTTTCCAAATTTTAATCTCTCTGCAATGCAAAACATAGCAAAATCATTGTGCAGAGGTAGTAAAATAATCCTGTAAACAATTCACTAGCTGCTCCTGATCCACAGTTTTTTGCAAATTTCTGAAAGTTTTAAAAAACTTACAAAATCTGTTTATACCGAGATGACAATGGAGGAAAGATCTGCATATTACCAAAGTGAACAATATCGGCAATCACAAAATACTACAATGAGTGAACTGGATATTTACAAGTAATAAAAGTAACAAGTTTGAGGGGCAATATTTTTTTTCTCCCATAAATCTTGAAATCCATATTTTTCCTGTATATTAAAGATGGGGATTTTAGAAATTGGACAGAATCTTCATATAGCTCTAGCAATGCAAATGTTTTGAAGTAAGAATGTGTGCATGAACAGAATTACAGATTCCTGCTGCATTAATACTTTCATTCCCCCAAGTGATGATCTGATCTTTACAACTCCAGTGGCTATTTCATCTCCCAGCATGTAGAGACCAAAGTGCCATTTCCATTAGATGTTAGGAAACCAACAAATATATCATTTTGTTTGCTAAATTAGGCGAGAAAGCACAGCTTTTCTGATTCGAAAAGTTCTTTTTTGAAAAGTGAAAGGGCAACAGGATAAAAGATGGTTGAATTTAACTACCCGCTTCAAGCCACTCACTTCAGGTTGTTTTATACATTTGCAAAAGTTACTTCAACAGGAAAATAGGGAACAAACTGTACGTGAAAAAACAACAACTGCTGACTCTCATAAGCCAGTCTGCTGTTGTTTTTGTTAGCTTACTCCCACATTATGTCACATTGTGCTTCTTTCATTCTCACAGAGGGTTTTAACCATTTAGAGGATTAAGAAATCCCCTTAGATAGAATCCTAAGGCTATTTACTCAGAAGTATACCCCAGTAAGTTGTGTAGACCTGCAGTTTAAGGCTCCAGTTTTCTGCGTTATTGGCCTGAAGCCCACAGAACTTTACTTCTGAATAAGCAAACGCAGAACTGATTGCATCGCAACCTAGAAGCCTTACTTCAGCCTCACTGCAGCCGCCAGCTTTTAGAAAAAGAGAATTCAGATCAAATTGTGCTACGTTGGCAGGAACAGAGGCGTCTTTTGGCTTTATCCCTTCTGACTCAGGATGATCAGGGAGAACATAATCCCGTTTGTATATCTCTGAATGATTTACAAGAGGGTAATGAGAGGTTTCAATCTCTGTAGTAGTAATAATTAGTAATACCTTTTTAAGCTGCTTCACAGATGAAGTCAGGAGAATTTGGCAGAGCATGGGCTTCAAGGTACTTTGCTCTTCATCCTGATAAGATGTGTACCTGCCTAACTGACTTACACATCACCTGCCAAGGACATGGTCTACATATGATGCTCAGCTGCAGCTCTCAACCTCTTGCAATGGAGGTTGGTGCCAGACTCTGGAATGCCACCTGCTGTAATGGGGATCTAATCGATTCTGCCAGCCCGAGATCAACCCATTCTCCCATTAATCGGATTTATCTATACATCCTCCATTACTCTACAGGTCTTTCTTAAGGACATCAAGATCCTAATCAGATCAAATCTTTTTTTTAATCTTCCGCAGTCAAACTCTGAACTCACCGCATGTTGCTATTCAATGTGTGTTTGTGTTTATTTCCATAGTCATAAGGCACACTGAAGATGGAATTAAATTCCTTGTACCAGTGCAATGTAAACTAAACTTAATCAGGGCAATTCTTAAAGAGTTCCCTTCCCAGCCCTGCAAGATCTTGCGTGGGACTGGGGTTGTCTCCAATTCTGGAGACTCTGCTGATCCCACCCAGGACTTGCCCCTGGCCAAAAAGGGCCAGTTAGCCAATAGCTCTGTCACCTCGTTCCTTTTATCTAGGCAAGCAGATTAAATTATATGCAGATTAAAAGCTCGGTCAGGGTGCTGCAGGAAGGCAGGCAGGCAGGCAGGCGGCTCAGAGGGCTTGTATTAGCAAGTTCTCTAACTCCGAGGTCGCCCTTTTAAAAAAAATATTTCTCAGGCGTTTGGGAGGCGGTTTGTCCCCGGGGCAATTTTTGGAAGCCCGTGTCTCCTGTCTGCCCAGGCAGGCTGGGATTCTCTGCAACGAGGAAGTTTCTCTTTCTCTCTCTCTCTCTCCTCCCAGAGGCGTTTTGCTGGTTTCCCTGCATCTGGCGCAAAAGGGCTGCAAGGTTGGACGGGTGACAAAAGCGCACTTTAGGGATTTCGCCAGCCGCAACGAAGGGTTGCAAAGCTAGGACGGGTTGCAAAGCTAGGAAGATTCAAGGGGAGAATCGGGAGGAGGGGCGCGGGGGGCAGCGAGGACTGCACCGACCCAGAAAGGGAGCAAGCAAGCAAGCAAGCAAATCCGGCGACTTTAACCCTGCACAGATTAAAATCCAATCAAACCGGCAGAGATGCGGAGGAAGCTGCGCGCGGTCGGGGGAAGAAGAAAGGCACAAGTGCAAACGACGACCATGGCCCTGCCTGGAGGGAAACCGGCGTGCAAGAGCAGATATTTGGGGTGGGGGCGGGGATGGAGTAGGGGGTGGGGAGAATTTGGCTCACAGTCAGAAAAATGGAGCGGCAGCTCTGTCCAACTCCGAAGGGTTTCTGAAATGCGGTGATTGTTTGGGGGAGTAAGAGGCTGACACTGTAAACCGCTTAGAGAGGGATGCAAAAGAACTACGAAGCGGTGTATAAGTTTAAGTGCTATTGCTATTGACTCAGCCTTCCGAGGTGGGTAAAATGAGGACCCAGATTGTTGGGGGCAAGAGGCTAACTCTGTATACCACTTAGAGAGTTGCAAAGCACCATAAAGCGATATATAAGTCTACGTGCTATTGCTATTGTCTCAGCCTTCCGAGGTGGGTAAAAGGAGGATTGTTGGGGGCAAGAGGCTGACTCGTAAACCACTTAGAGAGGGCTGCAAAGCACCGTGAAGCGGTATCTAAGTCTAAGTGCTGAAACCATTGCGATTCCTCCTGCTCTCCCGCGCAGAGTCGCGAGTCCTAAGGGTGGGAGTGGGGTGTGTGCGTGTATGTGTATGTGGTCCCGATGCACAACACCTCTGCACATGCAATAGGGCCAGCGACAGACACACCGCGAGGACCTCCTAAACTTTGCAAACTGAAGGTTAGAGCGCTTCGGCTCCTCCTGCACGCAGGAACGCGCGTCCCCTTCCCCCCCCCACCAGGTTGGAAACGCGCCATCGCCCCCGCGGGGCAAGGCGAGCGCGAAAGGATCGCTCTCTCTCTCGCCTCAACAATCAGGAGGCTGTGGGTTCGATCCTACGGAGAGGCGAATATTTGGCGTAGACTCTCCTGCTCTGGAGCACTGGGGGTTGGACTAGATGGGACCTCCCGGGTCCCTTTGTCACCCTATGAAGCCAAAATCGCGGGGGAAAGCGGTTAACAGTATAGCAGAAGAGTTGGAAGGGACCTGGGAGGTCTTCTAGACCAACCCCCACTGCTCCAGCAGGAAGCAAAGCAAAGCAGCCGCTCCCTTCCCACGGCCTCAGAGCCGGACCCCTCAGGCGGTCACCCCCGGCAGCTTACCAGTTCTCCCTGGAGCTCCGCGGCGTCGGCAACAAAAACTAAACCTGCGGCTGGGAATCCAGGCGCTGTCCAGCTGCCGTTTCCCCCTCCCAATCGGATGGCTGCCTGCCTCTTTGGCTGCCAGCGCCGCAGAGCCCATATATCAGCCTCGGCTCGGGCTCTGATTGGCCCGCTGCCGCCGGTCACGCATTCCAACTGGGTGACGAGATCGAGGCCCCGCCTCCCCCCGGTGGGAAGCCGGGAGGTGGGGGCTGCTTTCGGAGAACGGCGAGGCTCCTTCGCCGTAGTGGGTGAGTCAGAGGGGGAATTCTGCCGGGCGGGCGGTTTTCCCGCTTCTTTGCCGGCAGCGCCTCAGGGAGATGCTCGGGGACCTGAAGGGACCGTGGAGGGAAGGGGGACGGGGCAGTTCCCACCGCCGGCGTGGAGCAGAGGAAAGTTTCCGGAGTTACCCCCCCACACGCACACCGAGCGTTTGGAAGCAAACTCGCCTTTAGAAGAGGCGACCCCGAAACTCTATGCAGGGCTCCCCGAACTTGGCAACTTTAAGACTTGTGGACTTTAACTTCCAGAATTCCTGAGCTAAGATAATTGGAGGAGGAATTCTGGGAGTTGCAGTCCATAAGTCTTAAAGCTAAATCATCTATCTATCTATCTATCTGTCTGTCTGTCTGTCTATCTATCTATCTATCTATCTACCTATCTATCTATCTACCTATTTATCTATCTACCTACCTACCTATCATCTATCTATCTATCTATCTATCTATCTATCTATCTATCTATCTATC